ACTCCCAGGCCGCGGGGGTCTGTGTAGTCTTCGAGTTCCTTTATGCTGTTCCAGAAGCTAGCACTTGCTGTTTTCACAGGTGTGCTGACTCTTTTGTCTTCCAGATCAGTAATGACATTAAACAACACAGCTTGCTCAGGTGCTATATTCCCGTGCCTAGTACATTGAAAACTCTCCTTAAGACTTAAGTATTTGTTTAATAAAACCCTCCCAGGTATGGTACTAATTGTATTTTGTTCAAGTTCTTGAAATGCCCCAATCTCCTTAGTATCTGATATCATTTGGCCGCTCTGCATATGGTTTTATTAGATGGTCTGAACAATGACTGGTGGAGGTAATTACCTAAACTTCCCTCTGAACACTGACAATAATCCTTCCCAGTCAGGCTTCCTGTGCTGTTTTTCCTGTTTGGTAATTGTGGATCTCAGTATCAATTCATCATCTTCCACAGGCTGAATTATTTTATCTTAAAAATCATAAAACAAGCTAAAAATTAAAAACAACCACACTGCAGGCTGCACCACATTGAAGTTTACTTTCATATAACAATTAACTGCTGTCTTTCAGTTTGGGTCAGTTTCAACCCAGGTACAAGTCTGGAACCAGAGTACCTGTAGGATAGGATAGCATCCTGTTGATGCAGTTATATATGTTGAAGCACAGCCAATCTATACAACATTTCTTAGAATGCCCCCCAAGTATTTGCTATTGCTTGTTAATTCAGTGTTATTTAAAGCCAATCATTGAACAGCACACAGCCTGCCAAGCTTAAGAGCCAGTCAGATCCAGAAAGGATCTCTTTTAACTTCAGGGAAGCTGTCATTCCCACCAATATGGGATCCACTGCAACTCATAAAAACAAGAGTGAATATGGGATACTGGGTGCAAATACCAAAACAAGATGTAGGGTGCAAGGCAACTAGACAACATAAATGGATCTCTCTTTATTGCCACAAGAGAGTCAATGGCTTTCAGAGCCAGAGCTTTGTTTTCAGAAAATTCTTTTTGATCCAGTCCTGATTTAAACTTACGCATAGCTTGTGTAGTAACTCAGCACTCTACAAACATAGTATGGCAGTAAAAGCATTAAAAGAAAGGGTAAAAAATGTAATGTGTAGACCACTAAGTTGGATGATATAGTGGATTGAATAGAAGATCTCCAGATCTGAAAATGAACCAGCCCAGCTTGGGCTGAAGGGACAGATCAGTTTTACTGATTTACTGTTTGAGGCCACAGATTGGGTGCTGTTCCTCTGTTCCTGGTGACTTGAAACATCCAAGGGATGTTTCAAGGGATGACTTGAAACATTCTGGGAGAAGGTCTGTAGGTCATCAGTTTGGTCATCCATATCTTCTAGATCTCCACAGAGACTGTCAGATGAAAATGTTCCTGATATCAGATTGCCATGAAGAAGTAGAATCCTTTTAAATTTCTTCTTCTTTTCTCTATGTTCTCCCCTATTTCCTTCCTATTTCCTTCCATAACTCAGAGGTGACCAAAGTGCTCACTTACTCCCTGTGGTCCTTCTTTGCTTTTCATTTAATTGTTCCTGTCAGGCTTTGGAACACAATGCGTCTTGTTAGCAGAGCAAAAGAACCAAGGAAGGGTCCTCCTTACATTGTGATTTTACAATAGATTAAAAAGAAAGCTCTCGTTTTGAAGTAGCTGTTTCCGTTTTCCTGTTACATAGCTATTATGTAACTGACTTACCTGTTTATCCCTCCTTTATTCACAGTAAGGATGGCTTTATAATGAAGGTACATGGACTGTATATTTCATGTATGAGTTTAAATACAGAACTGTGATTCCATCTTTCTGTCGTCATGCACCAGACAGTTTGTTACACACGCACAAATTAAAATTGCTTGTTTTACTGCATTCACATAATTAAATTTTCTAGTTGTTACCATTCTTTTGTCACCCCTGGAGTCAAGCAGACTGTCCAGTAATTGAAGCAATTGTTAAAATGTATGGCATTAAACCCTAGAAATCTTCTGTGAGAAGAGGGAACAAAAAAACAAATCAAAATGAATAGTTCTAGAACTGTGTTAGCTGAAATAAATCTAATCTAAGAAAATACCAAAGTTAAAGCCAGCAAGGTTTCCTGAAACATGTATAAAGGATTTGGATATAAGTACTTTCAAACAAAATTAATGTGGAGCTGATTACCACATACCCTAGGAGCACATATCCCTGTTAAATATCAATTAAAAAATTAATAAATGTACCACATGAGATTTCAAATTGCATTCTGCTTTCAGACCTACTTTTGTCAAGTGCAAGGCAAGGCATTCCATTACAAGCCCTCTTTTGTCATTGTATTTGTTTTCCAGCCATCAAAACCTGTGTCTAGACTCTAAATGCTTGAGACAGACAGATGCCAACATGGACAGACACACAGATTAGATAGATAAAAGGGTTCTTGGGATAATCAGCCCACTTTTCAGTGGGCATGAGAGAGCTGTCTATTTTCAGTTTCATAGCAACAGCAGGTAGGGACTGACTGATCATATGTCTCACGTACTTAGCAAGAATTCCACAGGTTTTAGTAAAAGCTGTGGTTGAGGCTGCTGTGGCTGTAAGGCACAGAAAAATAAACTCTGCTTTCCAGAGGTTTGCAGGGGAAGTGGAAGTGGCAGAAGGAGCACTAGGCTCAGACCAAATGCTCAGAACTGACTGAGAAGAGAACTGGAACTGACTGTAGAGACACATCCAGGCCCACATCCCCCTTGAGTTAAAAGAAGGTGTGCGTCTAAGCTCAAACACTTAGAGACAGGCATCTTCTCCTGCAGAGCAGACTTGAGCAGGAGACCAAGGCATTGGGAATCAGAGGGGACTGCAGTTGTGGAGCTGAGGTTCCTAGGCTCAGGGTTTCTAGGTAAGTATGCACTGGCCAAGGAGTTTTGAAGACAGTGTGGTGGCAACTGCATGGTGCTTGGGGTGGGAACAGCAGTTAAAGTCATTGACAAAAATTTTCTATATCTCTTCCTTCCCAATTGTCCACAGCATGTAGTCAGCTCCACATCCTACTCAAGCTGAATGGAGAAACAGAAAGGATGAAAGGAATTGCAGCTGAAGTGGGTGGCTTTTGCAGCAAAGGAAAGCAATATTTACTACAGCCGGTAATCCTTTTACCATGAACTTACGGAAACTAAGAACCTAGTGTCTGAGCAGCCCCTGCCTCTGCCTGAGCACGAGGCAACTCATGGGAAATCCTTCATTACATATCCTTCACTAAGTAGCAACACTTGCTTCTTTTCAGAACCGCTTCTCTGAATTATGTGTCTGCCAGCACTCATTACACATTTACAGCTTTGCTGTAACCCAGAGGACTCACCCATTATATATTCCGATTGTTCGTTTCAGCCATCCAGCACATCATTACAAGTTAATAAATAACTATGGATGGAACTGGGACTCATGAGCAAAAAAACAAACCAAAACAGTTATGAAGTTGAGTTTGTGGCTGGATAAAAGCTAAAAAATGTAAAATGTCTACAAATACTGGTGTTTTTTAAACTCAATCTGATGTTTTTTAGCATTTTTTAATTTCTGCTGGGAGTAGGTGCAAAGCTTCAGGCAATCACTAGAAAGATATGTGGTCAAATGTACAAACTAATTCATGAGGTATATGTTGTTACAGCCTGTTAATGGCTACTTGAAAGTAAATTTTTTTTTTTCAAAGGTTGAACTGCTAAATTGCTCTCTACTTTTACAGATTGTTCTGGCAAATGAATGGTAACCAAAAGCATAAAGCATAATCCGTTTAGGAAACAATGCATTTTTGTCTAGTAAAAAATGATACGCTTCTCCGTCTATGATTTGCTATGGGTGAAACATGCTCACCACATCCATGGAATTGATTTAGAGCTGAAGAGGACTAGAGAAAATCATGGAGAACAAAAGCTTGGCAGGGACTCTGGAACAAGAATTTAAAAGTGAAAGCTCAGTTCTGAGGGGAATGGTGAACAGTTTAACAGATTTTGTATGCCAGGCAGATGGCAGCACTTTCTTCATCCCGTGTAAGCCCAAACATCAGCCAGTTGTTCTCTTCGATAAGATCCGCACTCCTTGCATAAATTAAGTTCAGTTTGGCTTAGTTTAATTGAGGAATGGATTGTTTCTACATAAAGTGACAATTTGGAATATTTTGATATGGAAGAATGAAGGAGATGCAGGAGGAATATGGATTTTTATTTCCTGCCCCAATTTCCCCAACAGTGCCCCTAAGGTTGCAATGCATGTCTCATTGCTAGAGGAGGGCTGAATATGCCTTATATTGAGCAATTCATTACCACTTGAACAGAGGCAAGATCTGGAATGATCTCTGGCACTCCCTGTTGAAGCGGGACTTGTCACCTCAAGGGGTCAGAGGTGACCAAAGACAAATTTCGAAGACAGCTTAAAACTGACCCAGAGATGTTCATTTCTTGGTAGGAGTCTCGTTCTGAAGTGTATAGCATGGCAGACTTGGGGTGCATTCTCTGAAACTTTTCAAGACTGGTACATATTAAGAAAGCATCTTTGTGAAACTTAAGATGACAATGCCCATGATGGAAGCAAAGGGGAAGGCAAGCTCCCAAAAAACTAGTCTGGGTAGTTCCAGAAACTCATCAGTTTGGATTATGTAATAATTACATAAGTATGGTGGGACACTCCGACTGTTAGCAAAAGACATAGACATGACTATTTTATTTTATTTTATTTTGTCCGTTTTTAACTAGCTGGACTATATCAGCCATTGATCTTCATCTTGATCAAATTTTATATTTCTCAGCATTTGGATCCAGATCTGAAACTTACCAGGGTTCAAGGCTGCTAAGAGCCAGGAGTTTGATTTCAATCCATTAGGTTGATAGCTACAAGTCAAAAACTTGACTATTGACAAATATTTAAAAAAAAAAATTAGGTGCATTTCAAGCCAGGACTCTAGTTCAGGCCTGTGTCAAGCAGCAATTCTAATTTTTAATTGCATTTCTGTTTTTTTTCTTCTTTGTAGAATCAAGGTGCTAATCTTAAAATCTTTACCCAGAATTGTGAGAGACTATGTATGGAGCCTGAAATAGAAAAGAAAGGCATCTTCACGACTTGTGAGAGTGCAGGAACCATCCATCCAGCTTCAGAAATGCTCTGTACTGAAAAGACATTACAAGCAAAAAATGCAAATTTACAAACCTATTCTCAACACCATGCTCCTTGTGATAAGAGAGAAAGTTGTCACCAACAAGTCTTTTGTGAACAAGGAATTAATATTATTAGTAATGGCAACAAACCAAAGAATGATATTTCACCTTTTCCTTTATGGGATGCGGACTCTGTTCCTGATAAACAAGAATGTTTATGTGCTGTTCTCTCTTCTGCAAAGCTATGTGATGAGCCAAGGGAGGGAGAGCAAAGGTATAGTTTTGACTCACATGATACCAATGACACAGATATTCTCTGCAGTCTGTCATGTGATAAACCTCTGTTTGAAGCTAATCCCAAGTCAGTCTTGGAATCTGGAGAACCTGAGTGCAAAGGAGATGCTGATATATCTGCAGTGCATGACAAGCTGTGGAAACTTCTTCGTGAAGATGACTCAGACTATCAAATTCCGTTTGAAAACCGGGGGATCACAAGTTTAGAAATTAGGCCGACAGATACCAAAGTCACAGAACTGAACGTCGTACAGGAGACTTGTTCTGATCATCCTTTGCCAATAAATTTAATAGAAGAGCAGGAACCTATTACACAGCCAGCTAGTAGACCAAGAACAGAGAAAGAAGACTGCAATGTTTCTAATACCCTACTTAAAACAGATGAAGCATGTAACAGTGCATCCATAGGAAACATTTGTCTTGCACAAGTGGTAGAAGCAGATGGTATATGTCTAGATTCTAGTACTGGAAATAAAATGGAAACACCATCCATTTGTGTTTCAGGAAATAGTATCGTCTTAAATACAGGGGAGTGCTTGGAGCAGAAGCCAAATCAAACGTTAACTGACAGTAATGGATCCATTCAAATGACTGTTGCTTGGGAAGGAAAGCTTACCATTAATAATGCTTCCCAAACATGTGATGCAGATTCTCCTCAAAGACTGAAAAATGCTCAGAGTAGTAATTTAGCATATGACAAAGAAAACCCAGCTTACATGTCAGATAAGTCGCATGGGACAATTGGACAATTATTTCATACTGAGTACAACATATCCTTGGTAAATGAGTCTGTAGCTGGTAAAGGGTGTCATTTTAGACACTGTTATCCAGCAAGAAAAGAACTGCCTTATTTCCCTGAAGAGAAAGACATTTTCCCCACTGAAAATATCAGTCAGTTTACACACAAAGAACACCCTTCTGTAAACACCATACACAAAAGTTATGAAGAGAATTTACAAGAAAAAGGAAATCACTCAGACTTGAATGCACAAAATGACACTAATTCTGACAGTTATCATCTTTCAAAAAATGATGACTGTCAAGATTTTCAAGTTGTTTCTAATGCACAGAAATACAGTTACCTAATGCAATTGCGTAATTTAATTAAGACTCCTGACACCATAACACGTAAGAAGCTACACCAAAATGTAGACCAACTGACAGAAATAGAAAAACAAGAAGTGGAATTCACTCCCTCTTCTGAGGATCCATTTTTAAGAGATTTTTATGTAGAAGTGCCCAGGTATGAACCATGTGAAACAGGAGAAGATCAGAGAGAGATTTGCTTAGATGATGAACAAAGGGCTGAAACTTCCTGTGACTCAGGAGTTAGTCATGTTTCAGAGAGTCAGACTGCAGTTCCCCCTCATAATACATCAGAACAACATGTATTTTTTGTTGACAGCACCTTTAAGTCTGATGAAGAGTTAAAAACATATTCTTCAAAAAATCACACATACGCATCTGAAAGTGTAACATCAGTTAGTACCCCACTGTCTAGAAAGGCTCAAAATGAATACCACAGCACAGCAAATGAGGATTATAGAGAGATCAGTAATCAGTTAGATATCCAACAACTGACTGTAAAAGAAACATTGCCATTCTTCACACCTGTAAGCCAGTCAGAGGGCCTTCTTACCAGTATATCAGCAATGGGGTGTCCTGGCACAGGAAGTCAAGGGAAAACTGAATCCACACAAACTGCAGTCAAAGTAGATGAAAATTGGAGTACACAGGAAACTTTCTGCAAAGCATTGCAGGATCAGTTCCATAGGGTACCTGAAGAAAACAAGGAGGAAGCAGTCTTGTGTGAAAATAAACAAGAGATTCAAAGGGCTATTGAATATAACCCAGATGAAGCTGAAACGAAGTCTCCTTTGCACACTTTAATTGGCTCCAAGGCTCAGAGACAGATTATGAGTATTAGCACTAAGCAGTCCTGTCCTGACTTGATCTCTTCCAGCAAGCTAACTGAAGTTGATAATTCAGTTAAGTCTACTGAGTACGATAAAGGTGAAGAAGTCATGACATCAGAGAGCGTAGTAAATGGTTTAGTTAATTTGCCACCAGTTGATACAGGGAACAGCCAGTATTTTCAAGAGCAACCACCCTATTTTAGAACTCAGCCATTCTCCGTAGCATTGACCACATGTGATCCGTTCCCAGTCAATGTGGAAAGGCTAAGAAATCAAGAAGGGTTAAAATCCTACCAGACATCACCAACTGTTGCTGAGCTTGAGCCCACCAAATGTAAACAAGACACAGCAAGGAGTGGGCATTTAGCTACTGGAGCTAAGAAGAAGTTACCACCAGCAACACTGTCAAAGAAACCCCGACTGGAGGAGAGAGGAAATGTCAGCAAGGATCCTAGCTGTGTTAAAAAGTCTGTGAAGAGTGAGGCAGGCATGGTTTATAAAGAAGACAGAAAAGAGCAAAGGAAACTAATTTTGAAAAAGGATAGCAAAGGTAAGAGAAAAGTGATTTTCATTTCTGTCCTTTCCCATCGTTCTGGCTACAGTATGAAATTAAAATTCGTTAAACACACTGCAAGCCTCCTTTAGGTCTAAATCATATCAGCTAAAGGTGTCCTGCCCTCACTGATGTTAATCTCCAGTTCTGTGAACTTAGGAACTAGTGCTGTCCCCATGCCACAGAGCTGAACCCTCCATAACATCCTTTTCCTAGCTGGCAAATATATTAAATTTATGAACTTTTTAACCTGTTTGAAATAGTTACTTCTTCATTTGTCTCTTCGAGTAACTTTTCAGGAATGTATAGTGTAATGGTACCATATAACCACATACAATATAGCAACTGCAAACCCAGTACTTGCATGTTGTTATGTTCCTGCTGTGGCTCCCAAATGCAATTACCCTCTCTTGGTTACCAAATGGTTTTATTACTAGCAAAGTATTATTGTTATTACAAGGGTACCACTGATAAACATTTTGCAGTCCTGTCTGGTGACTGATGGCTGGTTCTGCATTCCTTTTCACCACTGTTGGTCATAAATGACACTGATGAAATTAGCAATATTAAACTGACATGGAAAACATATAACTGAAATGAGAATCAGGTTGCTTGAAAGAGTCTCTAGGAGGCTGCTAACAGGAAAAACAAAATGCAGACAGGAGTAGCAACAGTGTAACAGCTAGAGAGTTGAGGTATTTGTGGTTTCTATGGATACTTTGCAAGGGCCCAGGTCTTATTTTTACCTTTTGACATTACATTTCATGTTCACCTCATAAAATAATTTAATAGATCAGAGCAAGACTGAACAATGACTAAAGGTAAGCTACAAAACTGTGAAGCTCTTCAGAGATTCTAATTACAGTGCGGTCTGGTGAGAGTTCTACTTTTCCAATCACATTTAAAAAAAACTCCAAACTTTTCTCTGTTCGAAGAGACAGAGACCCAAATGCGTGGGAGGAGAGACACATTCCTTCAAAGCAGAGCAAGCAAACTGCAATTACTGAGAAATGCCTGATGTTTTTCCATGTACCTGAGGCTATGCTTGAAAAATGTTTTAAACTTTCAGGCTTGCATCAGATGAGACTGAATTTTCTTAACCTGCTTCTGATCTGTTTCAGTCTAGACTGAAATGAATGTATGTTTGTAGTTTAGAGAATTGTGTGGAGCTTTGCCCGGCATTATGGGAAGGTTGGTGTGGTTAGTCTGGTATGTACTCAGTGTTCTAGTGTTCTCTTTTGTATTCTTTTCAGCTGCAGGAGGGACGACTTTGTAGTTAGGGCAGGGAATCTGGAGCTGTTAGTTCTATTTACAGTTCTGTCATATACTGTCTGCGTCATTTTAGCCCTGATTCAGCAAGATTCTTAGGCCTAAGGACTTAAGTGACTGCAAGTTAAACATAGCAGTGAATTCCAGGTGCCTGACCCTTCGAGTTGGATCCGGCATTCCTTCGGCATTAGACGGGGAAAGTTAGACTGCTGGAATGCGATCCCCGAGGGAGATGTGTCATGCCAGCTCATTCAGAGTACAGCAGCTCAGAATTAACACAGTAGGAAACATAACATCTTGCATTTTACATCCTTTACATGTAGCAGGGATGTCTCACTTGAGCACAGGGATGTGTCATGATCCCAAAGTATATGTTGATTCCCTTTCTTTCCAAGTACCCTCCATCCTCCCGCTCACACCATGCCCACGTGCAGAAGACGCTGGAGCATTCTGTGAGCCAAAAAACAAGTCTTAGCAGAGAACCAGGTTATCAGGACCTTCCCCAGACTGGGCAGAGTGCTCTCTTTCTGTAACCTGAGTGATTCTTGGATTTGTTCTCCACGATGGTCAATATTTAGCAAAAGAACCATGCCCTATGGCTGGAAAGGTAGGGACTTTCTTTAGAGGTGGGAAATTAATCGTTTGAAACTGAAGAGGGAAGCAAAGGCCACTGACATTACCAAATGCAAATATCTAACCACTAAGTGTGGGTTCCTTCCTCCAGCTGTGTTTTAAAGGAAATGGTGTCATCACTGCAAAAAGTCTCAACCTGGCAGTGTGCGATGGTATGTTCCAAGAACACCTTGGAGACTGAGCATCTCCTGGGACTTGAACTCTTTTCTCTCAAAGGCTGTGATCAGTTAAAAAAATCTACTAGTTACAAGTATTCAGTTAATATGAATTCTTACTATGTAACCATATATGCTGTACCTTTGTGGTGTCTTTTTTTACTGGTAAAGCCAGCTGGTCCTTTAATCAGAGAGAATGTGTTTTGATTAAGAAATTATTTTATGTCAATGCCTTTTCAGGCTAGAACTTCCCTTGCGTCCTATTCCATAAATTCAAAATGTCTTTGTATTGAAAACATTTCCATTGACTGTGTGGGGCACTGAATCAGTCTTTTAAAACCTCCGTATTTTAAAGCCTTGGTTTCTGCATCAGAAGAAATCATAATTATTTACCAGTGTTGTCAGATTCATATTCTTAACATCTGCAAATCATTCTAGGATTCCTTTAAAATGCCAAAACAATATCATTATCTTCTAATCCTAAACTGTGGCTCTTCTGTTTCAAGCTCCCAAGCTGCTGAAGAAAATCCAAGCAGAGTTGTTCCCTGACTGCTCTGGAAATATTAAGCTATGCTGTCAATTTGGTGACATTCATGGTGACTCCACCATTACATGGACTAAAGATTCCAAGTTACTAGCACGACTGCAGAGAAGGTGAGTGAATGTTTCTGAAGGACTGGTAGTCTATCACAATCAAAATCCAACTAACTGTTTTGTATGTACCCAAGCACTGTTTCTTCTTTTGGAAATATACATCAATCTACAGAAATACATAATCTGGACTGTTTGGTACATCTTAGCTTTTACTTTCAATAGGGGGCGTTTACAGGAAATTAGGCAACAAATCTTTAGATTTTTATTACCTGTCAACACATGGAAACTTGTATTGAAAAATACACATTGCTAGTAATATTAATATATGCTAAGTAATTTAATTTAAAAACTATTGTTGGATAAATATGTTCTCCAGTGTGCCAAAATACCATGAAACTTTGTGCTGCCAACAAAACTGTGCACACCTTCACTAATTCACTTCACAAAAGCTTTAAAGCACAATAGCCAGGTCTCCATAATCCCTGCATAGATTATCTGGTTTGCTGATAAATACTTCCATGGACATCCACTGTGGTACATGTGAAAACCTTCATGGTCTAAGAGGACTTTTCATTCAGGTATAGCACGTTTCAGTGTGGTTTTACTGCTGCCAGAGCCATCTTGGGTCTGCAAGTACTGTAACTGCATTCACATGTCATTGCACCCCTGTTAATATCCATGTTGATCCATTTGTGAAATTGCATACACAGACATCAGAGAGTAAATATCTAGCTTGAAAAAAGCAAAGGAACAGAGGAAGTTGAGTGAGGAGTCAATATTGAGGAACAGCATAAAACATTTTGGGCTTTTATATGTTCATACTTTATATATTTTGCCATGATATTCATAGGAATATTTGAATGCCTTTTGGTATGATTAAATTATTTTTAGATTTGATTGAGGTACTTTTCTCTCAGAAGGTAGTAGGATCATCTATTGTGAAACGCATAATATGCTGAATGCTTCTAAGTAGGGTGAAATAAAATATTTTATCTACTTGCATCATATTTGAATCAGTGAGGGACAGAAATTCCAGGGACAGGAGGAGAGATACATGGAATAATCAAGAAAGATCTTTTAAAAATATTAATGTGGAAAATCAACATATTCTGTTCCAGTGCCCAGGATGACTCTCCTGTTTCTTTGGCAATAGCTAAAGCCGGTAACAAAGACCAGGGAATGTATTATTGCTGCTTGAATAATGTGTATGGAAAGGTGACTGCTGAGTTTAATCTGACTTCTGAAGGTAAATCCCAGTTTATAATTTTGATTAGTAATAATGACAATGGCAGTTCTCATTCCATTTTTTTTTTGCTACAAAATCTGTTTCTTTGTTTCCTTGTAGTATTGGAACATCTCTCAAGTTTTCAGAATTGTGAAGGTAAGTACGCTCATCTGCTTGAATGTGTGCTCAAATCTTTGTTCCTTCTGATTTCCAAATAAAACAAAGGATGGAAAAATATAACCAGACTGAGACATTTTGACAGTTATCCCATGGGAAGCTATGGGAATCCCTTGGAGCCATTGAATCAGTATTATGTTTTTTCTAGCTGTCTTTCCCTTTTTGCACTCACCTTTGCTGTACCATCGAAGACAAAATTCGCTTTAATTCATGGGAGTTTTGTAGATGAAATACCCTCATGTAGGATGCAGTGGTTTGTGGAGAGTGATGCAGTACCCACTGTGACAAACTATTGATTTGAACTTGACTGTGTAACTTCTTCTTAGCTTGATGCACTAGCACTTAACATACAGTAAACAGTGAAAAAGCATTGCATCGCATCATTCAGAGACACAGACACACACAAGGTAATGAAAGCTCTTTTGGCAGAAAAACTTGCCAGTGGTGTTTGAACACATGGTCTTTGCAAGTCACCTGCTATGTAACTTTACTCCAAGAGAAAGACGGGCATGAAGATTTGGAATGCTTTCCCCATATGTTAACTTGTGTTTAATCACACTCGGCATATGTCTTGCTGTGCTGCAGCTAAAGATAGGCAGTGCATTGCAAATTGGTTTATCATTTCTGAACACACTGTACTAATCAAGTACTTCATTCGGCCAATTGATTCTTCTTTCTTTTTCTAGAAGAAAGAAGAAATTAAACATTTAGTTCCTTGTTAAAATGAAGACAGGACTTTTCATGTAAGAGCACTGTATAACTTTTGATCAACAGAGAATTTTAGGTGGAGTTAAGGAGCCTTCCAATTCTAGCTTTATATGTGCACTATTTCCTCTGTGCTTCAAAGAGAGGCAATAGTGTATAGAGTCTAAACCAGAGCTAACTACAAAGGGGAGCTGGAAGAACTTCATTGCTGCATAGTGTACACCTTCTGTTCTCCTATTTATCTTTTCCACTGATGTTCCTTGAAATGTTGTGATTAGAGAGGCTTGAAGTGCAGTTAGAATTTTTTAATTTCTCTCAGTGCTTAACATTAGCCACTACTTTTTCCCCCTATATTTTTTTTCCATTTGTATTCCAGTGATCATTTAAAAGGGTGAAATCCATAATCCTGCCTGATTTCAGCTGTAACAAACTTAGGTACACATTCTTGTGCTACTGGTACCTTCAAAATCCACAGGTGGGGGCATAAGAGAAATATTATTGTACCAATTTCTCCTGAGTATAAAGATCACTAAAATTGATATATTTGCTTTTTGATTGAAACAGACATGGTCATTTATAGAAATGTGGCTCTTACTCAAAATCACTTATGAAATAAAAATCTTGTTATTTTCTTCTGCCTTTGCTAATGAACCTGTTTTTAAGCTGGTGCTTGCCAGATTGAAAAGAAATAAACACTTTAACATGCCAGTCTGCACCACTAGAGCTGATGTAGTGAATGTAGTTGGTACTAGGAAAGGCATGTTTCCATCATGGTCATATTGGGTAAGGACTGAGACCTCTTTCAGCTGAGTGCCTCTACGATCACATTGGCAGAATCTTTCCCTGAAAAGATTCGAAGCTGAAAGCTAAAACAAGCTCTGATTGTACCAACAACTTCTGGCTTTTCTGAAAAGACAGGCTAGCTTCAGAAGAATGTGCTCTGAGCACATTGGGCACAGAACTGTGTTAAATTCGTATCTCCATACACTGCTGCACATTAGCTTTATTACTGTCTCTGTCTTACCAAAAAAGCAGAGTTGGCAGGATCTCTGCATTCCCTCAATGCCTCTTTAGTTCTCAGTCAGCTTGACTGACTTCACATTTATTTGAAGCTCCAGTTTACAATTCCCCCAATAGTTTTAAAAACAGCTTTTGTGTTACTTCTCTTTTTTGTTTGCTACACTCTGTATTCTCTCCTTTTGAACCTGAACTGCCACCTTTCTCCATGCTGGCTTTAGATGGTACAGGCAACAAGCTACATTTAGAGGAGCAGGGTCCCAACCCCATATTAACACAAGTGAGGCCATGTATTGTGTCCATTGGGCATTTTCTTTAATACTCTATGGAGGGATGCATTTGGTCTCCCATGTCCACCTCTTCCCATGTGACTGCGGAAGGATGTCGTGCAGAACAAAGTGGCATTTTGTTTTAGGTGTGGAAGAAATTGAATTCATGCAGCTCATGTTCAGAGAAGATTTCATCAGTGACAGCTACTTTGGTGGGAACCTGCATGGAATAATAGCTACAGAAGAGCTTCACTTTGGTGAAGGCATGCACCGGAAAGCCTTCCGAAGTAAAGTGATGCAAGGCCTCGTGCCAGTGTTCAGTCCTGGCCACCCCTGTGTTCTCAAAGTGCACAATGCTATCACATATGGGACCAAGAGTAAGGATGATCTAGTTCAAAAGAACTACAAACTAGCACTGCAGGTAAGCTTCCCCTGTCCTTTGTAAGCAAGAGTTGTGGGGAAAAGCTGTCTTGCAAATGTTCAAACAGATGATCTGTTAAATGTTTTGAGTAATAGTCCATAGCCATATCCGTTTGTAATACAGGAATGCTATGTCCAAAATACTGCAAGAGAGTATGCGAAGATATATGCAGCAGAAGCTGAACCCTTGGAAGGCTTTGGGGAGGTACCAGAGTGAGTATATATGTATTTTTATATACATGTATATGTATGCGTATATATTGTCCTATGCCACAGCTGCCCACTGACTGCTAGGAGTAATTACTAAAGAAGGAGAAAGAGGAATCCTGAGAACAGTGTTACAGCTGGAGTCATGACCTAAATAATACTGAGTATCAAGGTGGTGAGAGAGATTCCATTCCCATTAGAGAAGGATAATAAGGAGTAAAGACAGTAAATAGCAGGTAAAAGGCATGATTTTGACATAAATTTAGAGGAAATTATTCATGTTAGTGAAGTAACACCAACAGGTGATACTATTAGTATCATCTACTAACAGCAGTGGGGGATAAGTCAGGGGATAATTCCAACTTTCCATTAAAAATGAAATCTTGAGAGAAATCATGATCATTCTGAAGCTTTTATGAAGTCACTCCTTAGGCAAGTTTTCTATGTAAAGAGAGGCTTAAGCAAGAAAGCTCAAGTCTGATGCTAGGTTTTCCTAAAGACTGGTTTATTTCATATCAGTTTTCCATTTCCCGAATATATGTACATCAGACCAATAGCTCAGTACAGGTTCACCTTTGCCTCTGAGGCTGGGAAGTGGCACCCTGAGGATTTGGTAATAGATCTTTTTCAAAGGATTTGCTGTTCCAGTGTCAGGCTACTGTGTAGAGTTGAATTTGCAACGGATGGTTGAAATTCCATCTGCCTTGCTTCAAGGATAAGACCTACATGCTTGACAGTAGGCTAAATCTCCATCTCCATTTAGATGACACAAGATCTGCTCAGCTGCACTAATTCCCTGAAAAAAAGGACCACGTAAAACACAGCCTCTGGAATGATTCCGTAAAGCAGCCTTTTCAGGATTAGAAATAGTGATGGAGATGGCAGTGAAATCTTTTACGGAAAACATTTGTGCGAGTCAGCTTATTTTCTGGAAATATATTGCTCTTGGTAAAATTCGTGTTTGAGAGATTTCTCCAGGCACAGGATATAACCTCTAGTTTTGATATGAGAGAGAAAGCATGTACCCTATGAAAACTAGAAATCTGGTGCAAATAACAGGCACATGGCAGGTTCAGATCTGGTGCTTTGTTCTAAATAATTGTCTGGAAGACAGCAGCTAGGAGCAAAAGGAGATGGTGTGCATATGCTTTTGGTTTGCTTTTTAATTTCAAAATTTTAAGGCTAGATTCCTTTCTTCTAGCCAGCCCTTGTCAGACCAAACTTGTATTTAAAGGAGGGTATATTCCTTGCAACATTTTATAAGAGAAATAGAGCAAGAGAAAAGTCATCCATGTTCTCCAGAGTTAGCTTTAAAGCTACAGCCTTAGCCTATCTGTGCACGTTTGACTGTAAGAGAAACCTGGGGAAAGGAAAAAGAAAGCACTGCTCTATAATAGTCAGTGGCCTGGCAGCTAGACATTTATAAAAGGGCAGGAGGGGGAGAGAGAGAGAGAGATTCTGTGGTCTTGAGGTTACTTATGATACTTCCACAACGGAGTAGTACTAACATTTCTATTAACCAGTGATCCATTTATTTTCTTTCGGTGTGCAGTAATACGGAACTATATGTAGCCTTATATACTAAGAAAAGTTGTTCACTTTAATGATACTGGTAGAGTTAAGCTGATATCACACCTTGAATGAGTAGGTTAGAACTAGACAAGTGCCTACAGTTGCAGCGATTGTTCCTTAGAAAGGTAATAACTACTGGTATAAAGGCCATTTGTACCAGTTTAACTGCATGTGGTATAACAATAAGGGTAAAATATTACAACAAATAAATTAATGGTGTCAATAAAGCTTGATTATGGACTAGGACTGGAAGACTTATACAGAAGTGCTGTGGTTATATATGGTTCTCTGTCCCATGACTAATTCTTCTAGACCTCCTTTCAGTGTATATAGAGCACATACGTACATTCACAATTCTGCCATTTCCAGAATCCAGTACAATTATGTCTGGAAGCGACTATACCACCCCTTTGGCAGTGTTGCTCTAAGAGATAAGACTGTTTGTAAGAAAGCAAGTAACTAGAAACCTGTTTTGTGGTGACAGTCATTTCCCCCATGTGTTCTGAGATACTGCTAGGAGCTCTTGTGAGCTAGCTGATAAAAGACAGTTATGTTCTGTTACCAGCTCCAGCTGAACGGCTTTCTAAAATGACCTTATCTCAGAGCAGTATTAAATTCCACTGTAATATACACTGATGTCACTTTTTTTCTTACTCTAAGGTTTTAATTTTGGAGATTTATACTGTAGTATCAGAGTGCTGCCTAACAAGAATGCTGAGTTTTTTCAGTGTAAGTACAAACAGAAGACGACTATCCATGAGGTAGAACACTGCTTTCCAGACAGCAGGAACTTTGGTAACCAAGAAGTTCATGTTGCCAGTGAGACAGATACTTCCTTCCAGGCTATTGTCATTATCACTTTACATTCAATCTTTCTCTCTGGGAAGACCGTGAAACCCCAAGCAAAATTTTATTTGATATTGGATGTGAGTTTTTGGCATGGTGCATCTTTAGACATAAATGGACCTAGCCTGTATTCCTACAAAACTTTGTAAGTCTTTCTGGCTAAACTAGCTCAATTTCTAAATGAATAAAATGAGACAAATTTTGTCAGGTTTGCAATTTCCTGAAAACTTCCTACAGAACTAGCTGAAGTTTCCTGACCTGGATCCAAACTTCGCCAAAACCCAAGAATCTTCTGATTCTAGATTTTCACTTAGGCCAACTTGTCTTGAGAATCCGATGATCTTTCCAGAGACTTTCTTGTTTCCTCTTACTTTTTGGTAAAGTAGTTGCTTTGTATTTTCATTATCAAAAGTGTTTGCTAATTTTGGATGTGTCAGGTTTTAGAAGTCTAGTCTGAGAAATCATCCACTGACACTGGACTTGGGCAAAGCACTTTCTGGAGTGGGTCAAATTTGCAGGTGCTTAACACCTCAGAAAGACTGAATCATATATCAGGCAGACTGAGCAGCTAAAGCAGCGATACTCCAAAATAAGCAAGCACCCTTTATTGTACAGAGTTTAGGTTTTGGGATGTAGTAGGACAACATTAGAAAGTACGCTTTGAAAAAGTTTACATGTGAGTAAATAATACAAAGAAATAAGCACATAGAGGATAATGCGATTGTGTTCTAGAGCTACCTAGAAATCTGAATCTTATCCAGATGTCTCCTGGCTTGGATTAGACTTGGTAGCTGTTCATTCACTCTCTCAGATCACTGGCCACTTTGTCTGTTTCTTACTCCTTCATTGACAGAACTCTCTGGATTTTATTAGTTTTTATCCCTTGATTTCAGGATCATTCCTATTTTTCTTGTTCATCGCCCTGCTAATAACATCCCCTATGCGACAGTGGAGGAGGAGCTGGTTGGGGAATTTGTGAAATACTCTGTCAGGGATGGCAAGGAAGTAAATTTCCTGAGAAAAGACTCAGAGGCTGGCCAGAAGTGTTGCACCTTCCAGCACTGGGTGTATGAGAAGACCAATGGGAGCTTGCTTGTCACTGACCTGCAAGGTGAGTTGCCTGAGTGGAGGCAATAAAATGGCTTTCCCATGATACAGGCTGGTGACCACTCACAGTCAATCCCTGTAACTGCAGAACTTCCAGAGACTTATTTCTGAGCAATGTTATTATTCACTTTCTGTGTCCTATTGGTAATGCTGAATGTGCTCCTTCCATAACCTTGTAATGGGCAGAGTCTTCTGCAGATGCAGACAGTACCCTGGCCCTGTGCCTGTTTTATATCTGCATCTCATGCAGATCAGAATAAAAGAAAGGAGAGAGAGTTAGGTTATTTTATTTTCCAGACTCTTTTAAGTGCACTATGTTTATTTGTGTGTGTGTTAATCTAGGGAACGGAAAGACCCTGTGGCAGCAGGGGCAAACATGTATTAACCTATACAGTATTATGATGTTTATTTAATCAACAGAGAAAGGGAATTTTTACCTATCTTATGTTCTTGTAAGAAGACAGTTTGGAAAAGAAAAAACAAATCTTGCACTCTTAACAGGAGAGTTGTTCTTCCACATGTCCCCTTAGTAAATCAGGACACTCAATATGAGTCAAATCTGGCTTATTGTCTCACCTCCCAGAGGTTAATGAAATGTCTTGTGAATTAAAGAGTTCAGTTGTTAATAACATCCTAGTCCTTATTTTTTCTTGTATTTAAATACTTACCAACAATCTCTGAACAGTGGAGTGTTCCACATTCAGGTCCTGGCTAGGTTTGAAGAAACATGTTCCTTCAAAAAAAGAATGGTGAAGAAATGCCCTCCTTGCATTTACTAAATGCTGCCCTCATGCTCCTGTGCGTGTAACTCCTCCTAACTGCTGAAATGCTGGGCCCGTACACAACACAGTATGCATAGATGTATTTGAAAAAGAGAAAGACAGGCCCTTGTTAAAGAAAACCAAAGCAAGGTGGAATCTTAGAAAATATCCCATATTCTTTAACAAGAGAAGGCAGGAAAATTAGCAACAAGACATCTCAACAAGACCCCTGAAATAATCTAAAGGGAGAAGAAAGAACAAAATCCTAGCCTGAGGGGAAGCAGAGCAGCAGAAATGGTATCCAAGCCTCTGTAATGATTGCTGCCACAAAGGACAATATACCTGCTGCTGTTGAAGAGAAACATCCTTCCTCTTTGATAATCTTCTCGTTTGAGTATCTAGGCTGCATTTTTCAGGCATACCAGTTGAGATTTCTGAGGGTGTTCTCCAAGGAAAATGGTCTTGAGACCATTACTTTCCTGTGCAGAAGAAATTGCACACTACAGGACTGGATTTTGGCTATAAACAAGTCAACAAAGGGACAAGTTAAAAAAACCAAGATTTTGGAAATACTGAGTAAGAAAGGGATTTTGGATCTCTCACCCAGAAAGTAAAAATACGGTTGACTGACCTATTGCTATTTGATTAGCAAAGCAAATATTCAATTCCTACTGAAAAACATTTTAGTCCAAGTTTGCAAAGCATCAAACCCCATAAATAAATAGACACATCTCAGGGCAGGTGCATAAGCGAAGATTTTGTGTGTTTCTTAAAATGCAGACATCAAAGTGTAACTCCTCCTTCCCCCCACTGACTGTCTAGCACAGGAAACAAGTTATGCTCTATTTATCACCTTGCTATCTGTAAACTACTGGTAGCAGGCTGACTTCTAGAAATTGCTAGTGATACAGAGCATAAACATCCTATTTTTAATTGGGCTACTTTAAAACATTTTGAAAAAATGGTGACAAATAATTAAAATTAAAATCATGAATTAATAATTAATATTTAGTGCCTCTATGTATGGTGCTCTTGAATCTGAAGATATTCCTAGAAATTCTAGTGTAACATAAGCTCTCTGTTTCCTTGATGCCTTGTAGGTGTAGGAATGAAGTTAACTGACGTTGGCATAGCAACATTGGCCAAAGGGTGAGTGAAAAATTATTTCTCAACAGCATGGGTTTGCTTTACACATCAGTCTCTTCACAGTGTAAATATGTTGGGGGAGGGTGCACTGGAAATTTATTCTTGCTCTAACTTTGGAAGAAAACAGTCCTCATCTGACTCTTTTAACTTCTTTTTGTTCATATTTATGGGAACCCACCTATAAGGGAAGCACATTTATTTTGTTCTAGAAGGATGGGGCTACAATGTAGATTGGGCTTTGCTTTTCTGTCATGCCTCCCTTAAAATAGGCTTATTCAAAGGGCATTTCAAGAGTGAAATCAAGGTCTCTGGTGACTTGCAAGTAAGGCGCTTTGCTTGGTGGTACATCAGCTGGAGGAAGGTAGGGCTGAAAATGCAGAGCCAACACTGCCTCCAGCCTGGGATGCAATGAAAGACCTAATGTTTGTGCTGTCCAGAGCTTCTGACCATGGAGGAAATGTATCAAATCCCTGCACGCTCTTGGAGCCAGAGCTCCTGCTGGGCTTGCACTCATTAGCACTTCCCCAGCAAATGCAAATACAAGCGCTTCCAGCCCTATTACTCGATCCTGCTGCCAGTAGGCAAGGTGACCCTTCTCCCCTCCTACCCTTCCACTGGAAGAAGAGATGCTATCTACCACAGTACTGTGGGAACTAGGGAAGGAGATGCCCTGAAAGGGGCCAAAGTTTATATTGCCCTTTTTGCAAGGAATTTGCAGGGACTGCATGAGAGAACACAGCTGAAATCCCTCTTGCAGCCAGCAAAAGTGCCAAAGCTTTGGAATATGTATTTATGACACAAGCTTTTATAAAGACTCTTTTCTCAGTTTAGAACTCTGAGTTAGTTTGTCTTCCTATAGCAGGCAGTGACCCGTAAGCTTTTCTTGAGCCCGTGTTCTTGTCAGCTGCATGGGTGGAGGGAAAATGTCTGTTTAGCTCTGTATAGGCCACTTATGTGATAAAAAAGGAAATGTGTTATGGGATTTGATGGT